CCAAAACAGACAAATAACACACAGAAAATCAGGATATGCAATGAAGATGTGAATAACATTAATGCAATGGTATGGTTCTCATTGATACCTATGCATCAAACCAATGTGACAAACAATAACTAAACACCAAACATGTTTCAACTCCCGTGAGCTCTGCCTTACTAGTCAAGAAATCTGTTGCACAATTTGTCACCCAAAATTAGCCACTTGCCTGATAGTTGACACTCTGAGCTGACCAATCAAATACATAAGGCTGCAAATACCCACTCGGTGAACATGAAACAATGGTGTTTTTCCACACAGACCCAGTCATATATGTTTTAGGAGCATCGCCAGATCTTAGGTTTTAGATGTCAGCTATCCACCATGTGTTCTACATGGATTTAAAATGCTCACAGTATTTTTAAAAAAGCTTATAAATGTTTTGAACCGTTGTGTGCATAACAGTGGATAAATAAACCCCTTCAGCTGATAACATGGTAATCCTGAAGCGATGTCATTTTAAGGTGATGAATTGCAATATTTTCACTTGCCTGTTTTATTAAAAATAAATGCTGGGAACTGAATTTTGTTGTTGGGTCTTCTGGAATGTTTCCTAACAACATAAAACCATCATTGCGTTAAGACTTTATTAAGCAGGTTGGGGGGAGAGAAGTGCTGCTGGGAGTGAGTTTAAGGCATATGGGGCAACAGAGGAGAAGGGGTGGAGTTGTTTGACAGCATGAAACCCTGGAGTGGCTCAGGGTGGTAGAGTTGGAGGAGGAGAGGCAACTTTCAAGGCAGGGTTATCTTGGGGGTGGAAAGGTAACAAAAAGTTTGGTCAAGGCCACTTTTAAAAGCAAATGCATGTATTTCGTAACTGGGAAACTTGCCTAGGGGTCAACAGGTGCCCTTGATTCCTGAAAGTGAATTGCATAATAATACACCTTGCTTTTCCTTTCCTTTTGAACTCATTCTGGAGTTTGCTTGGTGGACTCCTCTGTTGACAAGACTCTTGATTTATGCACATGAGATTTCCCTCCTCTGAGCAGATTCCCCCCCCCCCCAAGCTTTTTTTGTGTGTAAACTGCTACTGTTTAGGACCTCAAAAAAAGAGAAAGGATTGCAGTGTGGGTCTGTCTTCAAAGCGCATTCTTCCCTTTTGATAAGGAGAGTATTCTGTGACTCAGAATTGCTTTAGGCTTTTTGACTGCTCAGCCGCTTGCATAGACTCAGCCAACAGGCTTTGCCAAAGTGAGAGGCGCGGGCTAGATCCCGCTGTTTAGAACGGTGATCTGTGCAGGTGTAGAGCTATAAAGGTTTAGAGGTTGGGTGCAGGGCCACAAGGATGTATGCTCCCCACCCCATGCCGGTGAACTCCCCTTGTCTCACTCAGCTTCCATTTCAGAATAAATGTGAAAGCATTGCTAACCAGAGTTAGAAATGAAACTATTATTGTTAAGTTGTGGGTGAACGTATCAGACGACACAGCAATTCTTCAAACAGCTCTTATTTATTCATAGGCCAGAACAGAACTGAACTGAAGGGTTCAGCCAGCCTGCTTATATAGAGCTCCACTAGAACACAACAGTAACTATTTTCTGTAATTATCCAATCACTGAACGTCACTTTCAATCCCTTATTTGCATATGTGGACCTGAGTGAAAACTATCTACAGTATCTCCCTGCTGGCCCAGGGTGAGAACTTCAGTACATAACAATAATAATATTAATTTATTATTTGTACCCCACCCATCTGACTGGGTTGCCCCAGATACTCTGGGTGGCTTCCAACATATATAAAAACATAACAAAACCTTAAACATTAAAAAGCTTCCCTATACAGGGCTGTCTTCAGAGGTCTTCTAAAGGATATGTAATTACTCATCCGCTTGACATCTGATAGGAGGGTGCCGCTACTGAGAAGGCCCTCTGCTTGGTTCCCTTTAGCTTCACATTTTGCAGTGAGGGAACTGCTAGAAGGCCCTCAGTGCTGGATCTCAGGGTCCAGGCTGAACGATGGGAGTGGAGACTCTGCCTCAGGTATAAAGGGTATTTAGGGCTTTCAAGGTCAGCACCAACACTTTGAATTGTGCTCTGAAACAACTGAGAGCCGATGTACAGTATGTCTTTCAGGACCAGTGTTATATGGTCCTGGCGGCCATTCCCAGTCACCAGTCTAGCTGCTGCATTCTGGATTAGTTGTCGTTTCTGGTCACCTTCTAAGGTAGCTTCACGTAGACCAATATGCAGTAGTCAAAGCGGGAGATAACCAGGGCATGTACCAATCTAGCAAGACAGCGCGCAGGCAGGTAGGGTCTCATCCGGTGTACCAGATGGAACTGGTGGACAGCCGCCCTGGATGCAGAATTACACTTGTTTACCTGCCACTTCTACCATGCCTCTCCTCCTTTCTCTCTCACCCTCTGTTTTATTGCTTTAAAGAGATTTATTTAGGACTGTTAGCTAATTTTCATTTTGCTGTTACAGTGTCGTTCTTAAGGGCTGACAGGGACCTGCTTATAAACAAGGTGGTTTAAAGAAAAGAAAAAGAAAAGCAGGATTTCACATGCTCCAGGCTACAGAAAGCCTCATGGGGATTGTCTCTTCATATCAAGGGCATGTGAGAGCCTGTTTCACTTATATTTATTTTTTAAAAACCTAGCAAGCACTGTGTAAGGGTCCAGACTTCTGTTACTTTTCTGCTTTTGTCTTAGGATTCTCAGTGTCTGTACTGAAAGCTAGCCAGATGAGGGTTTTAGATATACATAGGTAGCCGTGTTGGTCTGCCATAGTTGAAACAAAATAAAAAAATTCCTTCTAGTAGCACCTTAGAGACCAACTAAGTTTGTTATTAGTATGAGCTTTCGTATGCATTCAGATACACAAAAGCTCACACCAGTAACAAACTTAGTTGGTCTCTAAGGTGTTACTGGAAGGAATTTTTAAATTTTGTTTTGAGATCAGGTTTTTTCAAAAAATTGCTTGCAAAGTTTAAGAAAGGCAAAGTGTGTGTACATTAAGTAATATAGCCCTGCATTTGTCTGCTAGAGATAAAATGGGATCAATTGTTTTTTCTTTCTTTAAAAGTTCACAAAAGCTATAGACTTTGGTTAACTATTGCCACCCTCGACGTTCAGATGTAGAACTTAGTTTTAGTGTCACCTCACACCATTTTGGGTTGGCAGTTTGAATCCCCGCTATGGGGTGAGCTCCCGTTGCTTGGTCCCTGCTCCTGCCAACCTAGCAGTTCGAAAGCATGAAGTGCAAGTAGATAAATAGGTACCGCTCCGGTGGGAAGGTAAACGGCGTTTCCGTGCGCTGCTCTGGTTCACCAGAAGTGGCTTAGTCATGCTGGCCACATGACCCGGAAGCTGTACGCCGGCTCCCTCGGCCAATAAAGCGAGATGAGCGCCGCAACCCCAGAGTCATCCGCGACTGGACCTAATGGTCAGGGGTCCCTTTACCTCTCAAGGTGCATAGCTAAAGATGCTGCAATTGAATGTGGCAAATGCATCTCAGAGGACTGGGATTGGCTGAAGCTCCAGACTGATTGACACTTGCAGCATGTGAAATTTATTATTATTTATATCCCCGCCCATCCTCCCAAATGGCCCTTTAGGTGGATTTGGCTGTTAAACCTACTGCCTTGAACAACTTTCAGGTACGGAGGTGAGATGCCTGGTTTTGCCTGTTAGTTTCTACTCTTTATTTTTGACTCTGTTCCTTCTGGATAGCCAGGTGGTTGTCAAACATACAAGTGGGGAAACGATGACCTGCTACCGCGGCGAAATTAGTTGCAGTGTTTGCTTCGGTGCAATTTACTTAGAAACATTTGCCTTCCGGGTGGTAATGCCTATTAACTTAAAACAGAGCTGTTTGGTCTGGTGTCAGATTAAAAAATACTTTCAAGCAAGTATGAAAATCCTAGTCATCATATCTTGGCCAAAAAAGAGAAATGATGGGGGCAGCCAACATATCTGATTATTTTCACTTAAAACAATTGGTAGGACCAATGAGATTGAAGTAAACACTTTCTTCTTAGATTTGCCTTTGATTGTCTGTGTAAAGAAGGTCGCTTTTTCACTGAGGCACGAGGTCATGTTCTTGCTACCGGTGTTGCTCTGTTGCTTTTTTTTATTTTCCAAGTAATGCTAAGAATGTCGTTTGTGCTCCCAATCGTTCTATCGCTATGTAAATTTTGCTGCCCTCGCTGCTTTCCCTCCTTACTGAACCCGTTTCCCTGCCCTCTGGAGCATGTTGTACCTCTTGTTAAATGTGCTCTACTTAATTGTAAAGCAAACCTCAGCCCTGAAGCCTCACATCCTGAAATCTGAAACTTTGCTTGGCCTGACGGATCAAGGAAGGCAAAGACTGCTGTTGGAATTTTGAACCTGATACATAGTTAAATGCGCAGAAGGATCCGTGGTGGTTCTGTTCTAGTGAGGGAGCATTCAAGTACATACACAAACTGTTGCCTTCCTCAAGGTGCAAGGTTTCCCTTTTCTAAAACGCTTTGTGCATGTGGGGCTGTGGATAAGGGGCACGGTTCTTTAGTGAATATAAGGCAGTGAGAAAAGCTACAAAGAAATCAAGTGTATATTCAAAGGTATATGCTAGCCACTCTTCTTCCCTCACCCACAATCAGGCTGCTTTTTAGTCTCCCCAGGGCTTTAAAATGCAATTTAGGGGGGGAAGGGGTTGTTACGTGAGATGCCGAAAATGTACTCTTTTAAAGCGAAGGAACTTCAAAGGGAGACTGCTGAAATACACCAGGAATTTCAAGGCTATCGTAATTGCGGGTCGAACCGAGACAAAGAATTTTTCACACATTTTATGCGATAGGTGACCTACCAACATTACTGGGTAATGAGAAATGATGGCCATGCTTTTCTGCATTTCATTTGCTCCATACCTCACTTCTCACACACACCCTTCCCCCCAAACCTTCACACACACACACACACACACAGAGTAGAGTTCGAAAGTACCGCAAGGGTCATGTAGTCCAACCCCCTTCTTGCCCAAAATGGGGTTCAGACCCACGACCCTGAGGTTAAGAACCTCATGTTCTACTGACTGAGCCATCCCAGCAGTAGAATATCTCCTGTAGAATTGTAGAGTTTGAGGGCCATCTAGTTGAATCATCTGCAAAGCAGGGAACTCGGCTAAAGCATCCATGACAGATGGCCATCCAACTTGCTCAGAAACCTCCAAGTAAGGAGAGTCCACAACCTCCCTGGGAGACTGTTCCACTCTCAAACATCTCTCACTGTCAGAAAGTTTTCCCTGATGTTGAGTCGGACTTTCTTTTCTCGGTCATTGGTTCAAGTCCTACCTTCCAGAACAGAAGAAAACATCTTGCTCCATCTTCCATGTGACAGCCTTTGAGATACCTGAACCTCCTATTTGAGATCTTTGAACCAGCACCTCTCATTTGCAGTCTTCATGATTCATTTTTTAAATAATTTTTTGGGGGGAAGATCAAGAAGTGGTCTAGCAGTTCTGTCCGCACCAGGGATTCAGCATGTGCTGGGGGCAGGAAGCGCAGAGGAAAGAGAATAGTTGCAAAGTATTGGAAGACACAAGATCTACCCACCTTGGAAGAATGGCAGATGAAGCTGATGGACTATATGGAACTGGCAGAAATGACTGGCAGAATCCGGACCAGGGAGAAGAGTCGGTGGAAGAAGATTGGAAGAAATTTAAAGACTACCTACAGAAATATTGTAAAATTAATGAATGTTAGAATGATGTTGGATAGAAATTAAGTGGTTTCCAGCTGTAATGCTTTAAGGGAATATGAAAAATGGGTTGTTAATAGGTAAAAATCTAACGTTACTATTTTAAGACCAAAGATTAGGATAAACAAAGAGGGTAAGGATTTGCTGAACGAACAAATTGAGTTGGAATACAAAAAAGGGAGGTATGAGGAGGTCCGGGAAACAAGCTAAGGAAAAATAAGTAATGGAAAAATTGAGTGGTTTTTAATCATTTTTATTTTGTATTCTGTATTTTTTCTTTTTTTTTCTTTTTTTTCATTTTTATATTGTAGCATTTGGAAAATCTCAATAAATATCTTATATATAAAAAAAGAGAATAGTTGTTACTAGCACCAAGGTAGAAACGGAGAGCAGCTGTGAGTCTCAAGGTAAACTACCTTGAGTGGTAACCGTAGAATGAGTCACAGGCAAAATTGTTCTTAATTTTCTTTACTCGAAAGGCAGGCTGTCTATCCCATAAGTGCTGGGTTGCATAAATCACATATACCTGTCTACCTTTGCCAGTTTAGATTCTATATTCTACCCTTGACACAGCCTGGCCCTTCAATCGGCCATGATTCCTGTGTTAATGAAAGTATCTAATCCTCCCGATAGAACCAATAATGATGCAATGCAGAATTACATTCTCTCCCTTTTTGGCCCGAGGAATAGAGTTAATGCATTTTTGTATTTATGATTTCCTGGAATAAAAGAGGAGTGGGCACTCCCCCTCCTGCCTCTCCTTGTCAGTCTTCAACGGCCAAGTAAATTTCCTTTCAGGTCTATTGATCCAGTGCAGTGAGTTCTTTAAGAGCAGGGAAGAGCGCCATCTCTTCTGTTCCACCCCACCCTCTCAGTCGCTGCCTCGCCATTTACTGCCTTTGACTTGGATCCAAGAACTGGCATGCTGCCTTCAACTAACTAGGGGAGAGATGAATAGGTGTGTAAAACAGCTCTCTTTTAGAAGGTGCAATGAAATGTGCTATGGCAGCGTCTGATTTTCAGCCCATTAACAGATCTGTAAGCTATAGTGTCTAGATCAGGGGTGGGGAATCGGTGGTTCCCCAGTTCTTGCACTGCAACTTGCATCATTCCTGACAAGTGGACATCCTGGCTGGGGAACATGGAATATAGGGTGAGATTCAGCAAAGTTGTTGCGTGCGCAGAATAAGGTCCACAACAGGATTCCCACCAGTCTTCTCCCCTTGGGCGCCCTATAAATCTGCTCTGGAGGCTTTGGAAAACCCCAGAACATGCTTAGGGAGGCACAGGGCCAAGCGAAAGGAAAAAGTCCTGCTATGTAAGTGGACTTCATTCATTGCCCACATCCCCCACTTAGTGCAACAATGAATTCCTCCCATAGCGTCCAATAGCATCTGGAGGGCATCAGACACTACGAATCAACTAGTTGGTTGATTGGACTGCCTTAGTGATGCAAATACTCTTGATTGTCCTCAACTCTTAGTGCTACCAGACTTATTAAAAGGCCTTTTGATATATTACAGTTTAATTTCAGTATCTGACTTAACTTCTTCTGTGCTTGTGGCTGTTGTAAATGGCAGCAGTTATTTTTAAAAGGATTTCTATACAGTGGTACCTTGGGTTACATACGCTTAAGGTTACATAAGCTTCAGGTTACAGACTCCGTTAACCCAGAAATAGTGCTTCAGGTTAAGAACTTTGCTTCAGGATGAGAACAGAAATCGTGCAGCAGCAGCACAGCGGCAGCAGGAGGCCCCATTAGCTAAAGTGGTGCTTCAGGTTAAGAACAGTTTCAGGTTAAGTACGGACCTCCGGAACAAATTACCGTATTTTTCTCTCTATAACACGCACCTAACCATAACACGCACATCGTTTTTAGAGGAGGAAAACAAGGGGGAAAAATTCTGAATGAAACAGTGGATGTATCATTTTTGTGCTTCATGCTGTGGCCACAGACATGTGATCTGATGGTGAATTTGGGGTGACCCAATGCAAAAATCCTGAGAATCCCTGTGGATCTGTGCTTTGTAACCACGTTTTAAGTGGGGAGGGAAGGAAAAACACAGTTTCCCCCCACCCACCCGAGCCAGCCCTCTCTCTCTCTCTCTCTCTCTCTCTCTCTCTCTCCCCCCACCTGCATGTTTTCCGGCTGCCTGTGAGTCCCTAGAAAGCATTAGAGCACGGAGAGGAATTAGAAGGAAGGACGCGATCCTTTCCTTTCTCCTCTGCTTGCCTGGAGGGCAGGGGATTTCCCTGCTCTTTGTTCCGTTTGAGCAAACACAGGAACGAAACAGAAGAGGGTGGGCAGTAAGACCCTGAGGCAGAATGCAGGAAAGCAGCAGCTTCCTTTCTTCAGGCTTCCCTCCTCCGTGACGCGCGATTTGATTTTTGCCTGATTTTTGCCCCTGCACTCGCACCAGTCGGCTCCAGGGACCACACATTCGCTCAATAACATGCACAGACATTTCCCCTTACTTTTTAGGAGAAAAAATCTGCGTGTTATAGAGAGAAAAATATGGTAAGTACTTAACCCAAGGTACCACTGTACTGCTTTTCATTTGGAGAAGAAATGCCATGCGATTTTGCAAACACATAAAAGCCAACAGGAAAGCAATAAGCAAAACCAAAATGTGGGATAGCTCAGTGGGTAGAACATGATGCTCTTAATCTGAGGGTCATGGGTTTGAGCCCCACATTAGGCAAAAGATTCCTGCGTTGCGGGGGGGGTGGACGAGATGAGCCTTGTAGTCCCTTAAAGGTAAAGGTAAAGGGACCCCTGACCAATAGGTCCAGTTGTGGCAGACTCTGGGGTTGCGGCGCTCATCTCGCTTTACTGGCCGAGGGAGCCGGCGTACAGCTTCCGGGTCATGTGGCCAGCATTACTAAGCCGCTTCTGGCGAACCAAAGCAGCGCACGGAAACGCCGTTTACCTTCCCGCCGGAGCGGTACCTATTTATCTACTTGCACTTTGACATGCTTTCGAACTGCTAGGTTGGCAGGAGCTGGGACTGAACAATGGGAGCTCACCCCGTCGCGGGGATTCGAACCGCCGACCTTCTGATCGGCAAGTCTTAGGCTCTGTGGTTTAACCCACAGCGCCACCCGCGTCCCTGTAGCAACTCTACCATTCTATGATTCCAATATGGGATACCTGTAAAGTAGTAATATAGGGAGAGCTGATAAAGAAGACAGCTTATATAAGAAGGAAAAGGAAACAAGGAATATATTTATTAGAACAACAAATAAGAGAACTTGAGAGAGAAAATTTAGAAACTTGTGCTTCAGAAATCTGTAAACAATTACTCCTGGCTTGAAAACAAGAACGGAAAAAAGGCAAATATGTGGCAAGACCATTGAGATTAAAAACAAAAACAAAAAAACCCCGAACAAATAAAAAGATATTTGAGAAACCAAACAAAGCTGATAAACTTCTGCCCCATATGTTGAAGAAGGAAGAGATAAATAAATAGCCTTATAAACCCCCCCCCACCAGACAAGAATGGGCTGTAACACCCATTGTTTGGAATTTGAGAAATTTAATAGAACATAATATAAAATAGAGAGTTTTTTATCGACTGAGATTAATAGATTCTTAAACTCTTTAAAATTGTCTAAACTAGAAGAAGAGGATGTAAGGAAACTGAATGCACCAGTTGAAATGGAGGAAGTAAAAGCTGCTCTAAAAGGACTTTCAGGAATGGATGGACTTGTACCATAATTTTATTTTATTTTTAACAAAAATTCCTGATGGAGCAGCTTTGATACACTAAACTCTATGATTAATTCAATAAAAATGTCTAAAAACATGCCAAGAACCTGGGAGAATGCCAAAATAGTAGTTGTTTTTAAAGAAAACCTCTTAAAACTTCATTGTATAGTTCTTTGTCATTGTTCAATTACGATGTAAAGTTATGGACCTAACTGTTCAAATAGAAGAATTGAAAGAGAACAACCAGACTTTCTAAAAGACAGAAGAGTGAGACAGTGTAATAAAAACAAATAAAAAGAACCAGGAGCATTTCTTTTTATGGATGCTGGAAAAGCTTTTGACCATATTGAATGTCTGTCTGTATTTAATAATAATAATAATAATAATAATAATAATAATAATAATATATTTATAGCCCACCCATCTGACTGGGTTTCCCCAGCCACTCCGGGTGGCTCCCAACAGAATATTAAAAACACAATCAAACATCAAACATTAAAAACTTCCCTAAACAGGGCTGCCTTCAGATGTCTTCTAAAAGTCAGATGGGAAGGTGTTCCACAGGGCGGGTGCCACTACCGAGAAGGCCCTCTGCCTGGTTCCCTGTAACTTCACTTCTTGCAGTGAGGGAACCACCAGGA